CGTCTCTCGTCTTTGAACGGGACTCGTGTTTGTTTTTCTCCGTCTGGACTCCATTTCCCGTCATGCCTTTCGAGGGGGGCGTCGTCGGCTCGCGCACACGCTGCTGCACATTTCGCGTCTGAACCGGACTGTTAATAACGCGCAATATTCACGCTTTTCCTTCGCGTTTTTTCGCACCGCCGCCGCTTTTTTTCCGCAGAAATGGACGCGGACGAGGACGAGGCGCTTCTGTTTCTCATCCACCAACATTTACAGAGCCGCGGCTTCACCAAAGCGGCCAAAAAGCTCCAAAAACACGTCTCTCAGGTAAAAACTGCACCTTTTTTTTACGCAAAACTTCACCGTAAGTCATTTTCAGATTTTTTTTCCCGCCGATTTCCTCGTATTTTCTCCCGTTATTCCACACAAATCCACGTTATTACTGTTATATAATGCGTTAAATAAAGTATTCCTCGGTACAAACTGTTCTTTTTGTGTAATCGCGTCAAAAATCGTGACTAGGACGCGTAAAAGTGCATTTTTAAAGCGTTTATTCCGGTTTGTGCATCGTGACAGCGAAAGGACACAATGTTTCTGCGGCAGCGTGCTCCCAGAATGTCCCGTGAAGGAGCTTTAAAACCCACACACGTGCGCACGTCTTTCACGATCGGTTAAAAACTCGAATCGTATCGTTAAAACGTCGCAAGTCGCACGGAAATTGAATCTGAGACACGCTGCACGCCGTTGGATCCTACGTATTTTATTTTTATTTTTAAATTAATTTATTTTTTAAATAGTAGCCCACGTATACATTTATAACTGTTTTACGTGTTTTTTATTTTTATTTTATTTATTTTTTTTATTAATTAACTATGCAAAACTATTTAATTTTTTATTTCATGCAATATTTACATTTTTGCGCCGTTTTAAAGCTCCACTGTGTAACTTTTCCGGTGGAGTGTCCGTCAAAAACGCTTTTCTCTACGAAGATGTTGTTGTTTTGTCAGGAATGTTTCGCAGTGTGGCTTTAAAACTTTCTATCGTCATGGAGACCGAACCAGACGGAGTCACAGGTCAGATCTGTGGAGAGGCGACACCGCTCACAGTCACAATGAATGTTTTTCTAGGGATTTTTGAGTCCGGGTTTAGACCTAGTTTAGACCTGGTTTAGTCCTGGTTTAGTCCTGGTTTAGTCCTGGTTTAGTCCTGGTTTAGTCCTGGTTTAGACCTGGTTTAGTTCTGGTTTAGACCTGGTTTAGTCCTGGTTTAGTCCTGGTTTAGACCTGGTTTAGACCTGGTTTAGTCCTGGACCTGGTTTAGACCTGGTTTAGACCTGGTTTAGACCTGGTTTAGTCCTGGTTTAGACCTAGTTTAGACCTGGTTTAGTCCTGGTTTAGTCCTGTTTAGACCTGGTTTAGTCCTGGTTTAGTCCTGGTTTAGTCCTGGTTTAGACCTGGTTTAGTCCTGGTTTAGACCTGGTTTAGTCCTGGTAACAGGTTTAAAAACATTCATTGTGAGTGTGAGCGGTGTCGCCTCTCCACAGATCTGACCTGGACCTGTGTGTGGTTTGGTTTCCGTGGAGACAGAAGTTTTTCTTGCTCTGTGCCTGGAGGAAAGTGACTCAGTGCAGCTTTAAGAGTCTGAACGTGTCTTTGTGTCTCAGGTGGAAGGAGCCGACGGACAGTCCAGTCTACAGGACATTTACTCTGTGTGGAAGAGGTGCGCCCCTGCCACTGCACCTGCACTGCACCTGCACTGGCACTGCCACTGTCACTGCACTGCACTGACTGCACTGCACCTGTCACTGCACCTGCCACTGCACTGCCACTGACTGCCACTGCACTGCCTGCACTGCACTGCACACTGCCACTGTGCCACTGCACTGACTGCACTGCACTGCACTGCACTGCATCTGCCACTGCACCTGCACTGCACTGCACTGCACTGCACTGCCACCTGCCACTGCACCTGCACCCTGCCACTGCACCTGCCACTGCACTGCACTGCTGCACCTGCCACTGCACCTGCACCACTGCACCTGCCACTGCACTGCCACTGCACTGCCACTGCACTGCACCTGCCACTGCACCTGCCACTGCACCTGCCACTGCACCTGTCACTGCACCTGTCACTGCACTGCACTGTCACTGCACTGCCACTGCACCTCACTGTCACTGCACCTGTCACTGCACTGCACTGCACTGCACACCCACTGCACCTGTGCACTGCACTGCCTGCCACTGCACTGCACTGCACTGCACTGCACACTGCCCACTGTCACTGCACCTGACACTGCACTGCACCACTGCACCTGCACTGCACTGTCACTGCACTGCACTGCACTGCACTGCACTGCCACTGTCACCACTGCACACTGCACTGCACACTGCACCTGCACTGCACTGCCTGCCACTGCACTGCACCTGCCACTGCACCTGTCACCACTACTGTCACTGTCACTGCACTGCCACTGCATCTGACCACTGCACCTGTCACTGCACCTGCCACTGCACCTGTCCACTGCACCTGCCACTGCACCTGTCACTGCACCTGCCACTGCTCCTGACCACTGCACCCGTCTCTGCACCTGACACTGCACCTGTCACTGCACCTGCCACTGCTCCTGACACTGCACTTCATAAACCATTTAAAAACAAGTTTTAGACCAGGTCTAGACTTGGTCTAGACCTGGTTTAGACCAGAATATAGACCAGATACAGACCAGATTTAGACCAGGTTTAGACCAGGTTTAGACCAGGTTTAGACCAGGATTAGACCAGGATTAGACTGGGTTTAGTCCAAGTTTAGACCATCTTAAATCCTGGTTTAGACTGGGTTTAGTCCGCATGTTTAGACCACCTTAAGTCCTTGTTTAGACCAGATTTAGACTGAGTCTAGACTCAGTCTAGACCAGGTCTAGACCGGGTTTAGTCCAGGATTAGTCCGGGCGGGAAAAGGCTCAGACGATCAGACAGTGAGTTTATTCAGTGAAATGAAGCTTTCAAAAACAAGACCGAGTGTGAACCCTTCACAGGACTAAACCAGGACTAAACCAGGACTAAACCAGGGTTAAAACTGGACTAAAACCAGGACTAAAATTCAGATCAAACTTCGTGTAAATAAAGTTTTTTGTTTTGTTTGTTTTCTTTGGTGTTTCAGACTGAGTCCTGCGGCTCTGGGGACAAACGGAGACATGAGTCCAGCAGAGGGCGCAGGGACCGGACCGGAGTCTGAACCCGGGTCTGGACTGGGATCTGGACCGGAGTCTGAACCCGGGTCTGGACTGGGATCTGGACCGGGGTCTGAACCGGAGTCTGGACCGAGGATAGACCATGAGGTGAGACTCAGTTTAGTCCAGTGTCGATCTTTGCCCAGGATTCAGACTCGGTTCTTGGTCCGGACTTGGATCTTGGTTCAGACTCAGGTCTTGATTTGGGACCACAGCCTCCAGGTTTAGACCAGGTTTAGAGCAGATTTAGTCCAGGTTTAGACCAGGTTTTAGACCCAGGATTTAGTCAGGTTTAATCCAGATTTAGACCAGGTTTAGAGCAGATTTAGTCCAGGTTTAGACCAGGTTTAGACCAGGTTTTAGGTTTAGTCCAGTTTTTGTCCAGGTTTAGTCCAGGTTTAGACCAGGTTTAGACCAGATTTAGACCAGGTTTAGTCCAGGTTTAGACCAGGTTTAGACCAGGTTTAGTCCAGGTTTAGACCAGGTTTAGACCAGGTTTAGTCCAGGTTTAGTCCAGGTTTAGTCCAGGTTTAGACAGGTTTAGACAGGTTTAGTCAGGTTTGTCCAGGTTTAGTCCAGGTTTAGTCCAGGTTTAGACCAGGTTTAGACCAGGTTTTAGTCCAGGTTTAGTCCAGTTTTGTCCAGGTTTAGGTCCAGGTTTAGACCAGGTTTAGTCAGGTTTAGTCAGGTCCAGGTTTTAGTCAGGTTTAGACCAGGTTTCCAGACAGGTTTTAGTCCAGGTTTGACCGGTTAGTCCAGGTTTAGACAGGTTTAGTCCAGGTTTCCAGGTTTAGACCAGGTTTAGACAGGTTTTAGTCCAGGTTTAGTCCAGGTTTTTGTCCAGGTTTAGTCCAGGTTTAACCGTTTATCCATTTTTTTTAACCAGACCAGGTTTAGTCCCATTTAGTCCAGATTTTTCCAGGGTCCAGGTTTTTTAGATAGGTTTAGACTAAGTTTGTTTAGTCCAGGTTTTTTGTGTTTTGTTTAGACCAGGAGGATTGGTCCAGGAGACCAGGTTTAGTCCAGGTTTAGACCAGGTTTAGACCGGTTTAGTCCGGGTTTAGCCGTTTGGTTTAGCCAGTTAGTCCAGGACCAGGTTTAGTCCAGGTTTTGTCCGTTTAGGAACCAATTCTAGGTTTAGACCAGGTTTAGTCCAGGTTTTTTCAGGTTTAAGGTTTCCGTTCTAGTCCAGTTTAGTCGGTTTCAGGTTAGTCCAGGTTAGTCCATCAGGTTTAGTCCAGGACTAGACCAGGGTTTAGTCCAGGTTTTCCAGGTTTAGGTTTAGGTTTATCCAGGTTTAGACCAGGTTTAGATTGGTTTACCAGACAGGTTTAGTCCAGGTTTAGTCCGACCAGGTTTAGGAGGTTTAGTCAGGAGTCCAGGGTCCAGTTTTTAGTCCAGGTTTAGTCCAGGTTTCCAGGTTTAGTCCAGGTTTAGTCCAGGTTTCAGGTTTAGTCCAGGTTTAGTCCAGGTTTAGAGGTTTAGTCCAGGTTTAGTCCAGGGTTTAGACCAGGTTTAGTCCAGGTTTAGTCCAGGTTTACCAGTTTAGACCAGGTTTAGGGTTTACCAGTTTAGTCCAGGTTTAGTCCCAGGTTTAGACCTAGGTTTCCAGACCAGGTCCAGGGTTTAGACCAGGGAATTAGACCAGGTTAGACCAGGTTTAGACCAGTTTAGTCCAGGTTTTGTCCAGGTTTAGTCCAGGTTTTAGTCCAGGTTTAGTCCAGGTTTAGACCAGGTTTAGTCCAGGTTTACTCCAGGTTTAGATTCTGCAGAACAACACAAAGGTTCCTCACGGGGCTTTAGAGTTGCTCCTTCTGGTTTCCATGGAGATTTTACTGGTTGTTGAGAAATGTTCCACAGTGTGAAATCAAACAGATTTATCTCAGATTTCAGTTGATATAAAGTTTGATAAATTTATTGAAATGTTTTAGACCCGGAGCAGGTCGAGTCCCGCTTCATTTTCTGCTTTTTAAAAAAATTTGAAACGTTGGAAAAAAAAGTTTGATTTTGTGTTTTGAGGCTGAAGCTCCAGACGAGGACTCCGCCCAAACAGAGGACTGTGAGGAGACCGTGGTCCCAGCGCGAGACCTGAGCCCGGACCAGGATCCAAGTCCGGACCAGGATCCAAGTCCGGACCAGGAGCCAAGTCCGGACCAAGAGCCAAGTCTGGACAAAGATCTCAACCAGGAGCAGGACCCTGAACCAGAGGAGGTACAAGAAAGGACGAGAGGGCATCTGACGCACAAGTTTAGACCAGGTTTAGTCCAGGTTTAGTCCGGGTTTAGTCCGGGTTTAGTCCACGTTTAGTCCAAGTTTAGTCCAGTTTAGTCCTGAGTCCAGTTTAGTCCAGGTTTAGTCCAGGTTTAGTCCAGTCCAGGTTGAGTCCAGGTTGAGTCCAAGTTTAGTCCAGGTTTAGTCCGGGTTAGTTTTAGTCCACGGGTTGTTAGTCCGGGTTTAGTCCAGGTTTAGTCCAGGTTTAGTCCAAGTTAGTCCAAGTTTAGTCCAGGTTTAGTCCAGGTTTAGTCCAGGTTTAGTCCAGGTTTAGTCCAGGTTTAGTCCAGGTTTAGTCCAGGTTTAGTCCAGGTTTAGTCCAGGTGTTTAGTCCAGGTTTTAGTCCAGGTTTTAGTCCAGGTGGTTTAGTTCCGGTTTAGTCCGGTTTAGTCCTGGTTTAGTCCAGGTTTAGTCCTGGTTTAGTCCTGGTTTAGTCCAGGTTTAGTTTTAGTTTAGGTTAGTGGTTTAGGTTTAGTCCGGGTTTAGTCCGGGTTTAGTCCAGGTTTAGTCCAGGTTTAGTCCAGGTTGAGTCCAGGTTGAGTCCAGGTTTAGACCGGGTTTAGTCCGGGTTTAGTCCAAGTTTAGTCCAGGTTTAGTCCAGGTTTAGTCCAGGTTGAGTCCAGGTTGAGTCCAGGTTGAGTCCAAGTTTAGTCCTGGTTTAGACCTGTTTAGACCTGGTTTAGTCCTGGTTTAGACCTGGTTTAGTCCTGGTTTAGTCCTGGTTTAGTCCAGGTTTAGTCCAGGTTTAGTCCTGGTTTAGTCCTGGTTTAGTCCAGGTTTAGTCCAGGTTTAGTCCTGGTTTCATCTGACTGTGTGATTTGATTGACAGGAGGCCAAAGCTGAACCGACCAATGAAACTCCAGCAGAGACTGAAGCTCCTCCCCCTGAAGGTACGAATTGAACCAGGACTAAACCAGGACTAAACCAGGTCTAAACCAGGTCTAAACCAGGTTTAAACCAGGACTAAACCAGGTCTAAACCAGGACTAAACCAGGACTAAACCAGGACTTAAACTGGTCTCAACTAATAGTGGTTTTATGTTTGTTCTCGTTTTCAGATCCTGCAGACGAACAAACTCCAGAGACCAACGAGGACGAGGTGAGATGGATTTAAAACGACTGGTTTAGTCCTGGTCGAGTCCTGGTTTAGACCTGGTTTAGACCTGGTTTAGACCTGGTTTAAGAGTCCTGGTTTTTTAGTCTGGTTTAGTGGTTTAGTCCTGGTCGAGTCCTGGTCGAGTCCTGGTTTAGACCTGGTTTAGACCTGGTTTAGTCCTGGTTTAGACCTGGTTTAGTCCAGAGTTTTTGTTTCTTTCTGAGGTGGTTTTAGATGAATATTTGTCTGTTTTCAGGAGTCCAGGTGCTCGGCTCTGACTCTGACGCTGAGTCCAGAGGATGAAGAAGAGGAGAAGAAGGAGGAGGAGAAAAAAGAGGAGGAGACGAAGGCCCAGGAGGAGGAGCAGCAGGAGGAGCAGGAGGAGCAGGAGGAGCAGAGGAGAGGAGCAGGAGGAGCAGGAGGAGCAGAGGGAGGAGCAGGAGGAGCAGGAGGAGCAGGACTCTGGTCTCACAGACTCTGGTGAGCAGGAGGAGGAGCAGGAGGAGCAGGAGGAGGAACAGGAGGAGCAGGAGGAGGAGCAGGAGGAGCAGGAGGAGAGAGAGGAGGCAGGAGCAGGAGGAGAGGAGGAGAGGAGGAGGAGCAGGAGGAGCAGGAGGAGCAGGAGGAGGAGCAGAGGAGCAGGGAGGAGCAGGAGGAGCAGGAGGAGGAGCAGGAGGAGGAGGAGGCAGGAGGGAGGAGGAGGAGCAGGAGGAGCAGGAGCCAGGAGGAGCAGGAGGCAGAGGAGGAGCAGGAGGAGCAGAGGAGAGCAGACGAGGAGCAGGAGAGGAGAGCAGAGGGAGCAGAGGGAGGAGAGGAGCAGGAGGGAGCAGAGGAGAGCAGGAGAGAGGAGAGAGGAGCAGAGAGGAGGGAGGAGCAGGAGGAGGAGCGAGGAGCAGGAGGGAGCAGGAAGGAGGAGCAGAGAGGAGGAGCAGGAGCAGGAGGAGCAGGAGCAGGAGGACAGGAGGAGCAGGAGGAGGAGCAGGAGCAGGAGAGAGGAGCAGGAGGAGGAAGCAGGAGGAGCAGGAGGAGCAGGAGGAGGAGAGGGAGGAGCAGAGGAGCAGGGACTCTGGTCTCACAGACACAGACTCTGGTCTCACAGACTCGGGTCTCACAGACTCGGGTCTCACAGACTCGGTCTCACAGAGTCTCACAGACCTCTGGTCTCACAGACTCGAGTCTCACAGACTCGGGTCTCACAGACTCGGGTCTCACAGACTCGGTCTCACAGACTCGGTCTCACAGACTCGGGTCTCACAGACTCGGGTCTCACAGACTCTGGTCTCACAGACTCTGGTCTCACAGACTCTGGTCTCACAGACTCGGGTCTCACAGACTCGGGTCTCACAGACTCACAGACTCGGGTCTGAGGGACGAGGTGAAGTCTGAGAACAAACGAAGTGATTCTGAACAAACTCAGACGTTTGTTTGAATCAGTCAAATAAAATCACTGATGTGGAGTCAAAAAACTGTCAAAAATATTCACGCGCTGAAGAGAGAAATCCACCTCAGTCCTGGTCTCAGTCCTGGTCTCAAGTCCTGGTCTCAGTCCTGGTCTCAGTCCTGGTCTCAGTTCTGGTCTCAAGTCCTGGTCTCAGTCCTGGTCAGTTCTGTCTGGTCTCCTGTCTCAGTCCTGGTCTCAGTCCTGGTCTCAAGTCCTGGTCTCAGTCCTGGTCTCAGTCCTGGTCTCAAGTCCTGGTCTCAAGTCCTCCTGGTCTCAGTCCTGGTCTGGTTCTGGTCTCGGTCCTGGTCTCAGTCCTGGTCTAGTCCTGGTCTCAGTCCTGGTCTGGTCCTGGTCCTGGTCCTGGTCTCAGTCCTGGTCTCAGTCCTGGTCTCAGTCCTGGTCTCAAGTCCTGGTCTCCTGGTCCTGGTCTCTCTCTCAGTCCTGGTCTCAGTCCTGGTCTCACTCTGGTCCTGGTGTCAAGTCCTGGTCTCAGTCTGGTCTCAGTCCTGGTTGGTCCTGGTCTCAGTCCTGGTCTCAGTTCTGGTCTCGTCTGGTCTCGGAGTCTGGTCTGGTTCTGGTCTCAGTCCTGGTCTCAAGTCTGGTTCAGTCTGGTCTCAGTCCTGGTCTCAGTTCTGGTCAGTCCTGGTCTCAGTCTGGTCTCAGTCCTGGTCCTGGTTTCCGGTCTCAGTTCTGGTCCTGGTTCCGGTCTCAGTCCTGGTGTCTGGTCCTGGTCTGGTCTGGTCTGGTTCTGGTTCAGTCCTGGTCTTCCTGGTCTGGTCTGGGTCTCACGTTCTGGTTCTCAAGTCTGGTCTCAAGTCTGGTCTCAGTCCTGGTCCTGGTTCCGGTCTCAGTTCTGGTCTGGTTCCTGTCCTGGTTCTCGGTCTGGTCTCGGTCCTGGTCTGGTCTAGTCCTGGTCTCAGTCTGGTCTCAGTCTGGTCTCAGTCCTGGTCTCAGTCCTGGTCTCAGTCCTGGTCTCAGTCTGGTTCCCGTCTCAGTCCTGGTCCTGGTTCGGTCTCAGTCCGGTCTCGGTCCTGGTCAGTCGGTCTCGGTCCTGGTCTCAGTGGTCTCAGTCCTGGTCTCAGTCTGGTCTGGTCCTGGTCTCTGGTCTCAGTCCTGGTCTCGCTTGGTCTCAGTCTGTCTGGTCCTGGTCTCAGTCCTGGTCTCAGTCTGGTCTCTGGTCTCTGGTCTCAGTCTGGTTCTCAGTCCTGGTCTCAGTCCTGGTCTCAGTCCTGGTCCTGGTCTCAGTCTGGTCTCAGTCCTGGTCTCAGTCCTGGTCTCTTCCTGGTCTCAGTCCTGGTCTGTTCTGGTCTCAGTCTGGTCTCAGTCCTGGTCTCAAGTCCTGGTCTCAGTCCTGGTCTGGTTCCGGTCTCAGTCCTGGTCCTGGTTCCGGTCTCAGTCTTGGTCTCAGTCCTGGTCCTGGTCTGGTTCCAGTCTCAGTTCTGGTCTCAATCCTGGTCTCAGTCCTGGTCCTGGTTCTGGTCTCAGTCCTGGTCTCAGTTCTGGTCTCAGTCCTGGTCTCAGTTCTGGTCTCAATCCTGGTCTCAGTCCCGGTCTGGTTCCGGTCTGGTTCCAGTCTGGTTCTGGTCTCAGTCCTGGTCTAGTTCTGGTCTGATTCTGGTCTGGTTCTGGTCTCAGTTCTGGTCTGGTTCTGGTCTGGTTCTGGTCTCAGTTCTGGTCTGGTTCTGGTCTGGTTCTGGTCTAGTTCTGGTCTCTGGTCTAGTTCTGGTCTCAGTCCTGGTCTAGTTCTGGTCTCAGTCCTGGTCTAGTTCTGGTCTGGTCCTGGTCTAGTTCTGGTCCTGGTCTAGTTGGTCTGGTTCTGGTCTCAGTTCTGGTCTGGTCCTGGTCTAGTTCTGGTCTGGTTCTTGGTCTCAGGCCTGGTCCTGAGACCAGGACTGAGACCAGAACCAGACCAGAACCAGACTGAGACCAGAACCAGGACTGAAAATGGTTTTAGTCCTGGTTTAGTCCTGCAAGTGAAATTTAAAACCTAAAAAAACTGTCAAACCAAGAAAAAAAAATAAAAATCTTAAAGTAAAGACGCGGTTTGTGTCGTGTTTTCAGCGGCGCCGGAGCCAGAGGAGCCAGAGGAGGCCAGCCAGAGGAGCCAGAGGAGGAGCCAGAGGAGCCGTCAAAGGAGCCAGAGGAGCCAGAGGAGCCAGAGGAGCCAGAATCCACCGTCGTAAACACCTGCGCCGAAGAAAACACCGGAAAGAGGAAGAGAAAGAAGAAAAAACGACAGAAAACTCAACCGGAAACGTGCGAAGAGGAAGAGGAAGAGGAGAGTCCGACGAAGAAGAGGAGAGAGGAAGAGGAGAGGAGGAGGAGGAAGAGGAGGAGAAGAAGAAGAGGAGAGAGGAAGAGGAGGAGGAAGAGGAGGAGAAGAAGAAGAGTCCGGGCGCAGACGACGAGACGGGAGAACGAGCGGCGAAAAAACGTAAAAACAAAAAGAGGAAAAGAAAAGACGCGAGCGGAGAGAGAGACGAGGACGAGGAGGAGGAGGAGAAACGAGCGAACGCAGAGACGCCGGCGAAGAAGCGAAAGAACAAAAAGAAAGAAAACGAAGAAACGACGGAGAAAACGACAGAAGGAGAGGAAACGGTGAAAAAAAAGAAGAAGAAAAAGAAGAAGGAGGAGAGAGAAGAAGAGCAGTGTGACGCGCCGCCAGCAGAGGGCGCAACAGAACTGTCCACAGGTCTGTGATCCGGGTTTAGACCTGGTTTAGTCCTGGTTTAGTCCTGGTTTAGTCCTGGTTTAGACCTGGTTTAGTCCTGGTTTAGACCTGGTTTAGACCTGGTTTAGTCTGGTTTAGTCCTGGTTTACCTGGTTTAGACCTGGGTCCTGGTTTAGACCTGGTTTAGTTCCTGGTTTAGTCCTGGTTTAGTCCTGGTTTTCTGGTTTAGTCCTGGTTTAGTCCTGGTTTAGACCTGGTTTAGTCCTGGTTTAGTCCTGGTTTAGACCTGGTTTAGTCCTGGTTTAGTCCTGGTTTAGACCTGGTTTAGACCTGTTTAGTCCTGGTTTAGACCTGGTTTAGTCCTGGTTTAGACCTGGTTTAGACCTGGTTTAGTCCTGGTTTAGTCCTGGTTAGTCCTGGTTTAGACCTGGTTTAGTCCTGGTTTAGACCTGGTTTAGTCCTGGTTTAGTCTGGTTTAGACCTGGTTTAGTTCTGGTTTAGTCCTGGTTTAGTCCTGGTTTAGACCTGGTTTAGACCTGGTTTAGTCCTGGTTTAGTCCTGGTTTAGACCTGGTTTAGTCCTGGTTTAGTCCTGGTTTAGTCCTGGTTTAGTCCTGGTTTAGACCTGGTTTAGTCCTGGTTTAGACCTGGTTTAGACCTGGTTTAGTTTAGACCTGGTTTAGACCTGGTTTAGTCCTGGTTTAGACCTGGTTTAGTCCTGGTTTAGTCCTGGTTTAGTCTGGTTTTAGTTTAGACCTGGTTTAGTTTAGTCCTGGTTTAGTCCTGGTTTTAGACCTGGTTTAGTCCTGGTTTAGTCCTGGTTTAGACCTGGTTTAGTCCTGGTTTAAGACCTGGTTTAGACCTGTTTTAGTCCTGGTTTAGACCTGGTTTAGTCCTGGTTTAGTCCTGGTTTAGACCTGGTTTAGTCCTGGTTTAGTCCTGGTTTAGAGTCCTGGTTTAGACCTGGTTTAGTCCTGGTTTAGACCTGGTTTTAGACCTGGTTTAGTCCTGGTTTAGTCCTGGTTTAGACCTGGTTTAGTCCTGGTTTAGACCTGGTTTAGACCTGGTTTAGACCTGGTTTAGTCCTGGTTTAGTCCTGGTTTAGACCTGGTTTAGACCTGGTTTAGTCCTGGTTTATCCTGGTTTAGACCTGGTTTAGTCCTGGTTTAGTCCTGGTTTAGACCTGGTTTAGTCCTTTTAGACCTGGTTTAGTCCTGGTTTAGTCCTGGTTTAGACCTGGTTTAGACCTGGTTTAGTCCTGGTTTAGTCCTGGTTTAGTCCTGGTTTAGTCCTGGTTTAGTCCTGGTTTAGTCCTGGTTTAGTCCTGGTTTAGTCCTGGTTTAGTCTGGTTTAGACCTGGTTTAGACCTGGTTTAGACCTGGTTTAGTCCTGGTTTAGTCCTGGTTTAGTCCTGGTTTAGACCTGGTTTAGTCCTGGTTTAGTCTGGTTTAGACCTGGTTTAGACCTGGTTTAGTCCTGGTTTAGTCCTGGTTTAGTCTGGTTTAGACCTGGTTTAGACCTGGTTTAGACCTGGTTTAGACCTGGTTTAGTCCTGGTTTAGACCTGGTTTAGTCCTGGTTTAGACCTGGGTTTAGTCCTGGTTTAGACCTGGTTTAGTCCTGGTTTTGACCTGGTTTTAGTCCTGGTTTAGTCCTGGTTTAGACCTGGTTTAGACCTGGTTTTAGTCCTGGTTTTAGACCTGGTTTAGACCTGGTTTAGACCTGGTTTAGTCCTGGTTTAGACCTGGTTTAGTCCTGGTTTAGTCTCAGTGTTGTTCTGTTTTTCCTGCAGGTGTCGCTGTTCAGCCCAAAAAGAAAAATCGAAACAGAAACAAACCGAGTCGACAGAAACGACTCAGACTGAAAGAAAAACTCAAGAACGAAACTGTGACCCCGACCGCCCTGTACGACCTCTGACCCTCTGACCTGACCCTCTGACCTCCTCTGACCCTCTGACCTCCTCTGACCTCCTCTGACCCTCTGACCTCCTCTGACCCCCTCTGACCCTCCTCTGACCCTCTGACCTCCTCTGACCCTCTGACCTCCTCTGACCCCCCTCCTCTGACCCTCTGACCTCCTCTGACCCTCTGAACCCTCCTCTGACCCTCCTCTGACCCTCCTCTGACCTCCTCTGACCTCCTCTGACCCTCTGACCCCCTCTGACCCTCCCTGACCTTCTGACCTCTGACCTCCTCTGACCCTCCTCTGACCCTCTGACCTCTGACCCTCTGACCCTCTGACCCCTCTGACCCTCTGACCTCCTCTGACCCTCCTCTGACCCTCCTCTGACCCCTCTGACTCTCCTCTGACCTCCTCTCCTCTGACCCTCCCTGACCTCTGACCCTCCTCTGACCTCCTCTGACCCTCTGACCCCCTCTGACCCTGTGACCCCCTCTGACCTCCTCTGACCCCCTTCTGACTCTTCCTCTGACCCTCCTCTGACTGACCTCCTCTGACCCTCTGACCTCCTCTGACCCTCCCTCCTCTGACTCTCTGACCCTTTGACCCTCCTCTGACCCTCTGACCCTCCTCTGACTCTCCTCTGACCCTCTGACTCTCCTCTGACCCTCTGACCCTCCTCTGACCCTCCTCTGACCCCTCTGAACCTCTCTGACCTTCTCTGACCTCCTCTGACCTCCTCTGACCCTCTCCTCCTCTGACCTTCTCTGACCTCCTCTGACCTCCTCTGACCCTCTGACCTCCTCTGACTCCTCTGACCTCCTCTGACCTCCTCTGACCCTCTCTGACCTCCTCTGACCCTCTGACCTCCTCTGACCCTCTCTGACCCTCTGACCTCCTCTGACCCTCCTCTGACTCCTCTGACCTCCTGACCTTTGACCCTCCTCTGACCCTCTGACCCTCCTCTGACCCTCTGACTCCTCTGACCTCCTCTGACCTCCTCTGACCTCCCTGACCTTTGACCCTCCTCTGACCCTCTGAACCCTCCTCTGACCTCCTCTGACCCTCTGACCCTCTGACCCTCTGACCCTTTGACCTCTGACCCTGTTCTTCTTCGTGGCAGGAGTAAAGTTTTGGAGCCCGAAAAAGCGAAGAAAAAGAAAAGTGTGTTTTCCCCGGAGCGTCCAGAGGAGGCGCCGCGTGAACAGAAGAAAAACAAGAAGAAGAAGAAACAACAACAACAACAACAACAGAAGCAAACTGTGACACAAGACGACCAGCAGAGGGCGACGAGTACCAGTCAGTACTACAAATACTACTACAAATACTACTACAAATACTACTACAAATACTACTACTACTACTGAGGGCGACGAGTACCAGTCAGTACTACAAATACTACTACAAATACTACTACAATACTACTACAAATACTACTACAAATACTACTACAAATACTACTACTACTACTGAGGGCGACGAGTACCAGTCAGTACTACAAATACTACTACAAATACTACAAATACTACTACAAATACTACTACTACTACTGAGGGCGACGAGTACCAGTCAGTACTACAAATACTACTACAAATACTACTACTACTACTGAGGGCGACGAGTACCAGTCAGTACTACAAATACTACTACAAAAACTACTACAAATACTACTACTACTGAGGGCGACGAGTACCAGTCAGTACTACAAATACTACTACAAATACTACTACAAATACTACTACAAATACTACTACATACAGTCTACGAAATACTACTACAAATACTACTACAAATACTACTACTACTGAGGGCGACGAGTACCAGTCAGTACTACAAATACTACTACAAATACTACTACAAATACTACTACTACTGAGGGCGACGAGTACCAGTCAGTACTACAAATACTACTACAAATACTACTACAAATACTACTACAAATACTACTACTACTGAGGGCGACGAGTACCAGTCAGTACTACAAAACTACTACTACTACAAATACTACTACAAATACTACTACTACTGAGGATGACGAGTACAAGTCAGTACTACAAATACTACTACAAATACTACTACAAATACTACTACTACTACAGAGGGCGACGAGTACAAGTCAGTACTACAAATACTACTACAAATACTACTACAAATACTCCTACAAATACTACTACAAATACTACTACAAATACTACTACAAATACTACTACTACTACTGAGGATGACGAGTACAAGTCAGTACTACAAATACTACTACAAATACTACTACAAATACTACTACTACTACAGAGGGCGACGAGTACAAGTCAGTACTACAAATACTACTACAAATACTACTACAAATACTACTACAAATACTACTACTACTGAACGAGTACTACTACAATACTACTACAAATACTATACTACTACAAAAACTACAAATACTACAAATATACTACTACAAATACTACTACAAATACTACTACTACTACTGAGGCGACGAGTACAAGTACAAGTACTACTATAATACTACTACACTACTACTACTACTACTACTACAGAGGGCGACGAGTACAAGTCAGTACTACAAATACTACTACAAATACTACTACTACTACAGAGGGCGACGAGTACAAGTCAGTACTACAAATACTACTACAAATACTACTACAAATACTACTACTACTACTGAGGGCGACGAGTACAAGTCAGTACTACAAATACTACTACAAATACTACTACAATACTACTACTACTACTGAGGGCGACGAGTACAATCAGTACTACTACAAAGTACTACTACTACTACTACTACTACTACTACAAATACTACTAACTACTACTACTACTACTACTGAGGGCGACGAGTACCAGTCAGTACTACAAATACTACTACAAATACTACTACTACTACTACTACTACTACTACTACTACTTAAGTACTACAAATACTACTACAAAACTACTACTACAAATACTACTACTACTAACTACTACTACTACTACTACTACTACAGATGGCGACGAGTACCAAGTCAGTACTACAAATACTACTACAAATACTACTACTACTACTACTACTACTACTACTGAGGGCGACGAGTACCATCAGTACTACAAATACTACTACAAATACTACTACACTACTACTACTACTACTACAGATGGCGACGAGTACCAATCAGTACTACTAACTACTATACTACCTACAAATACTACTACAAATACTAACTACTACTACTACTACTACTAGAGGGCGACGAGTACCAGATCAGTACTACTACTACTACTATACTACTACTACTACTACTACTACTACTACTACTACTAATACTACTACTACTACTACTACTACTACTACTACTACAGACCTGGCGACGAGTTACAATCAGTACTGGTTTACTGGTTTAGTTCTGGTTTAGACTGGTTTTACTGGTTTATACTATGGTTTACTAACTGGTTTACTACTGGTTTAAGTTCTGGTTTATATACTGGTTTACTGGTTTACTACTACCTGGTTTATACTGGTTTATTACTACTGGTTTACTACTACTAGTTACTGGTTTACTGGTTTAGTCCTGGTTTACTACTGGTTTACTGGTTTACTGGTTTACTGGTTAGTCCTGGTTTAGTTCTGGTTTTCTAGGTTTAGTCTGGTTCTGGTTTAGTCTGGTTTAGTTCTGGTTTAGTTCTGGTTTTGGTTTAGTTTTCCTGGTTTAGTTCTGGTTTAGTCCTGGTTTACCTGGTTTAGTCCTGGTTTACCTGGTTCCTGGTTTAGTCCTGGTTTAGACCTGGTTTAGTTCTGGTTTACCTGGTTTACTGGTTTAGTTCTGGTTTAGTCCTGGTTTAGTTCTGGTTTAGTCCTGGTTTAGACCTGGTTTAGTTTCCTGGTTTAGTCCTGGTTTTCTGGTTTAGTTTAGTCCTGGTTTAGTTCTGGTTTAGTTCTGGTCCTGGTTTAGTTCTGGTTTAGTTCTGGTTTAGTCCTGGTTTAGTTCTGGGTGGTTTACCTGGTTTACCTGGTTTAGTCCTGGTTTAGACCTGGTTTAGTCCTGGTTTAGTCCTGGTTCCTGGTTTAGTTCTGGTTTTGGTTTAGTTTAGACCTGGTTTAGACCTGGTTTATCTGGTTTAGTTTAGTCCTGGTTTAGTCCTGGTTTAACCTGGTTTACCTGGTTTACCTGGTTTAGACCTGGTTTAGACCTGGTTTACCTGGTTTACCTGGTTTAGTCCTGGTTTAGTCCTGGTTTAGTTCTGGTTTACTGGTTTAGACCTGGTTTAGTCCTGGTTTAGTTCTGGTTTAGTCCTGGTTTAGTCCTGGTTTAGTCCTGGTTTAGTCCTGGTTTAGACCTGGTTTCCTGGTTTAGACCTGGTTTAGTTGTTCTGGTTTAGTTCTGGTTTAGACCTGGTTTACCTGGTTCCTGGTTTAGTCCTGGTTTAGTCCTGGTTTAGTTCTGGTTTTCTGGTTTAGTCTGGTTTACCTGGTTTAGTCCTGGTTTAGTCCTGGTTTAGTTCTGGTTTTCTGGTTTAGTTCTGGTTTTCCTGGTTTAGTTCCTGGTTTAGACCTGGTTTACCTGGTTTTCCTGGTTTTACTGGTTTCTGGTTTAGACCTGGTTTAGTCCTGGTTTAGTCCTGGTTTAGGTTTAGTTTCCTGGTTTAGTCCTGGTTTAGTTTAGACCTGGTTTAGATTCCTGGTTTAGTTTACCTGGACCTGGTTTAGTTCCTGGTTTAGTCCTGGTTTACGTTAGTTCTGGTTTTTCCTGGTTTAGTCCTGGTTTAGACCTGGTTTAGTTTACCTGGTTTACCTGGTTTAGTCCTGGTTTAGTCCTGGTTTAGTTTCCTGGTTTAGTTAGACCTGGTTTAGTCCTGGTTTTCTGGTTTAGACCTGGTTTAGACCTGGTTTAGTCCTGGTTTAGACCTGGTTTAGACCTGGTTTAGTCCTGGTTTAGTTTCCTGGTTTAGTCCTGGTTAGTCCTGGTTTAGTTCTGGTTTAGTCCTGGTTTAGTTCCCTGGTTTAGTCCTGGTTTAGTTTTCCTGGTTTAGGGTTTAGTCCTGGTTTAGTTTTCCTGGTTTAGTCCTGGTTTAGTCCTGGTTTAGTTCTGGTTCAGTGATTTTTCTCACATTTTTCATTTTTATTTATTTCAGAAAAGAATAAACCGGTGAAGGAGGCCGCAGCCGCACAAGCCACGACTTTTAAGGTAAAAACCAAATATCAACCACAAAAATAATTTAATAATTTAACCTAAGAAAATATTTTAGTTTTGTTTTTTTTCATTCTGCAGAAAAAGAAAAAGAAATTCCCCAAATGAAACGACAGAAAACACAAATGTGGATTCAAATGTGAGTGTTTGTGTGACTCTCCTGCGCCGCGTTCACATCTGAAGGTTTTTTAATTCTGAATTAAAAGTTCTGAATAAAATAATTTGGAATTAAAATATTCTCCTCAGAGTTTACGTGGAAATAATAATTCTGATTAATAATTCTGATTTGAGGTTTACGTGAAAAACTCCTGAAATCGTCTTTATTTAATTTGGCTCAACGTCTGGAGTGAGGAAGGTTCTGACTGGGTCCAGATCTAAACCGGTTCAGATCCAGATCTAAACCGGTTCAGATCCTGGTCCAAACTGGTTCAGAATCTGATCTAAACTTTGTACTGGCTAAACTGGTTCAGAACCTGGTCTAAACCTCACCCTGGGTCCAGGTCTAAACCGGTTTGGGTCCAGGTCTAAACCTCGTACCGGGTCCAGGTCTAAACCTCGTACCGGGTCCAGGTCTAAACCTCGTACCGGGTCCAGGTCTAAATGGGTTCAGATTCAGGTTTAAACCGGTTCAGATCTTGACCTAATTCTCGTACCCGGTCCAAGTCTTAAGGGTTCAGATCCTGGTCTAAACCGGTTCAGAATTTGGCCTAAATCTTGCACTGGGTCCAGGTCTAAACTGGTTCAGATCCTGGTCCAAACCTCGCCCTGGGTCTAGGTCGAGACCAGTTCCCACTTCGGAATTAAGTTAAATTCCGGATAATTATTTTCATTTTTTATTTAAGCGGAATACATTTTTATTCAGAATAAAATTATTTTTATTCAGAGTTAAATTATTCAGAGTTAAATTATTTTTATTCAGAGTTAAATTAATTTTTATTCGAGTTAAATAATTTTTAGTCACAATTAAATTATTTTTATTCACAGTTAAATTATTCCGAGTTAAATTATTTTTATTCCGAGTTAAATTATTTTTATTCACAGTTAAATTATTTTTATTCACAGTTAAATTATTCTGAGTTAAATTATTTTTATTCAGATTTAATTATTTTTATTCAGTGTTAAATTATTTTTAGTCAGAGTTAAATTATTTTTAGTCAGAGTTAAATTATTCAGAGTTAAATTATTTTTATTCAGAGTTAAGTTATACAGAGTTTGATTATTTTCATTCAGAGTTCAATTATTCAGAGTTAAATTATTTTTATTCAGAGTTAAATTATTTTTATTTAGTGTTCAATTATTTTTATTCAGAGTTAAATTATTTTTATTTAGTGTTCAATTATTTTCAATTATTCAGAGTTCAATTATTTTTATTCAGAGTTCAATTATTTTTATTCAGAGTTCAATTATTTTTATTCAGAGTTCAATTATTTTTATTCAGAGTTCAATTATTCAGAGTTCAATTATTTTTATTCAGAGTTCAGTTATTCAGAGTTAAATTATTTTTATTCAGAGTTAAATTATTTTTATTCAGAGTTAAATTATTTTTATTCAGAGTTAAATTATTCAGAGTTAAATTATTTTTATTCAGAGTTCAATTTTATTCAGAGTTAAATTATTTTTATTCAGAGTTAAATTATTTTTATTCAGAGTTAAATTATTTTTATTCAGAGTTAAATTATTTTTATTCAGAGTTAAATTATTTTTATTCAGAGTTAAATTATTTTTATTCAGAGTTAAATTATTTTTATTCAGAGTTAAATTATTTTGCTTCAGAGTTAAATTATTTTGATTCAGAGTTAAATTATTTTGATTCAGAGTTAAATTATTTTTATTCAGAGTTAAATTATTTTGCTTCAGAGTTAAATTATTTTGCTTCAGAGTTAAATAATTTTGATTCAGAGTTAAATTATTTTGATTCAGAGTTAAATTATTTTGCTTCAGAGTTAAATCTCTCGTGTGAACGTTGTGCAGTGAGGAAGGGCATCTGGAGGAAACGTTCACATTTTTCACTTGTATATTTTGTTTTTCTTTCAGTGACGCTTCTTTTCTCGACACTGGTCCAGTTCTGCCTCAGTCTCTTTTTCAACTCGAAGCTGTGAGTCTTATTTTTTTCACACTTGTTCCTGTTTTTTATGGGTTTTTGTGGTTAAAGTTCCGGAGCGTTTTTCTCTCTTTCTGTTTTTTTCCGTGTGAGTTTACAGATTTTCATTAAAAATCTTCTACGACACAAAAGCGACTCGTGTGTGACTCTTTTTGTGACAGAACAGATCAGAAAACAGACGCGTCCCACAGAAGATTTGAACATTTCCGAAAAGTAAAATAATTTAAACAAAGTCAAGATCACAACGAGCATCACTCACAAACAATTCTGTCTTTAATTATTTTATTATTTGTTATTATGAAAAGTCATTTTTATAATGACAATTTACACATTTATATGAGTCTTAATTCTGAATAAAACATTTTTAATTCTGAATAAAAATGAATTCCACTTTAAAAGTAAATGTAAACACTTAAGACCTAATGAAACTCACTTAGTCCTGGTTTAGTCCTGGTTTAGACCTGGTTCAGTCCTGGTTTAGTTCTGGTTTACACCTGGTTTAGTCCTGGTTTAGTCTGGTTTAGACCTGGTTAGTCTGGTTTAGTTCTGGTTTAGACCTGGTTTAGTTCTGGTTAGTTCTGGTTAGTCCTGGTTTAGACCTGGTTTAGTCCTGGTTTAGTCCTGGTTTAGTCTGGTTTATCTGGTCCTGGTTTAGTCCTGGTTTACTGGTTTCCTGGTTTAGACCTGGTTTAGTCCTGGTTTAGACCTGGTTTAGTCCTGGTTTACCTGGTTTTAGTTTTGGTTCTGGTTTAGACCTGGTTTAGACCTGGTTTAGTTTCCTGGTTTAGTCCTGGTCCTGGTTTAGACCTGGTTTAGTCCTGGTTTAGTCCTGGGTAGTCCTAGTGGTTAGTCCCTGGTTTAGTCCTGGTTTAGTCCTGGTTTAGTCCTAGAGTCCTGGTTAGTCTGGTTTAGTTTAGTCCTGGTTTAGTCCTGGTTTAGTCCCTGGTTTAGTCCTGGTTTAGTCTGGTTAGTCCTGTTTAGTTTAGTCCTGGTTTAGTCCTGGTTTAGTCCCTGGTTTAGACCTGGTTTAGTCCTGGTTTCCTGGTTTAGTCCTGGTTTACTGGTAGACCTGGTTTAGTCCTGGTTTAGTCCTGGTTGGTTAGTCCTGGTCCTTTAGTCCTGGTTTAGACCTGGTTTAGTCCTGGTTTTAGTTTAGTCCTGGTTTAGTCCTGGTTTTAGTCCTGGTTTAGTCCTGGTTTAGTCCTGTTTAGTCCTGGTTTAGTCCTGGTTAGTCCTGGTTTAGTCCTGGTTTAGTCCTGGTTTAGTCCTGGTTTAGACCTGGTTTAGTCCTGGTTTAGTCTGTTAGTCCTGGTTTAGTCCCTGGTTTAGTCTGGTTTAGTCCTGGTTTAGTCCTGGTTTTCCTGGTTTAGTTAGTCCTGGTCTAGTCCTGGTTAGTCCTGGTTTAGTCCTGGTTTAGACCTGGTTTAGTCCTGGTTTAGTCCTGGTTTAGTCCTGGTTTAGTCCTGGTTTAGTCCTGGTTCTAGTCCTGGTTTAGACCTGGTTTAGTCTGGTTTAGAGTTCCTGGTTTAGTTCTGGTTTAGTCCTGGTTTAGTCCTGGTTTAGTCCTGGTTTAGTCCTGGTTTAGTCCTGGTTGGTTTAGTCCTGGTTTAGTCCTGGTTTAGTCCTGGTTTAGTCCTGGTTTAGTCCTGGTTTAGTCCTGGTTTAGACCTGGTTTAGTCCTGGTTTAGACCTGGTTTAGTCCTGGTTTAGACCTGGTTTACCTGGTTTAGTCCTGGTTTTGGACCTGGTTTAGTCCTGGTTTAGTCCTAGTAGTCCTAGTCCTGGTTTAGTCCTGGTTTAGTCCTGGTCCTAGTCCTAGTCCTGGTTTAGTCCTGGTTTTAGTCCTGGTTTAGTCCTGGTCTAGTCCTAGTTTAGTCCTGGTTTAGTCCTGGTTTAGTCCTGGTTTAGTCCTAGTTTTAGTCCTGTTTAGTCTAGTCCTGGTTTAGTCCTGGTTTAGTCCTGGTTTATCTGGTTTAGACCTGGTTTACCTGGTTTAGCCTGGTTTAGTCCTGGTCTGGTTTAGTCCTGGTCTAGTCCTGGTTTTGGTTTAGTCCTGGTTTAGTCCTGGTTTAGTCCTGGTTTAGTTTAGACCTGGTTTAGAGTCCTGTTTAGTCCTGGTTTAGTCCTGGTTTAGTCCTGGTTTAGTCCTGGTTTAGTCCTGGTTTAGTCCTGGTTTAGTCCTGGTTTAGTCCTAGTCTGGTTTGGTCCTGGTTTAGTTAGTCCTGGTTTAGTCCTGGTTTGTCCTGGTTTAGACCTGGTTTAGTCCTGGTTTAGTCCTGGTTTAGTCCCTGGTTTAGTCCTGTTTCCTGGTTAGTCCTGGTTTAGGTTTAGTCCTGGTTTTAGTCCTGGTTTAGTCCTGGTTTAGTCTGGTTTAGTCCTGGTTTAGTCCTGGTTTAGTCCTGGAGTCCTGGTTTAGTCCTGGTTTTTAGTCCTGTTTAGTCCTGGTTTAGTCCTGGTTTAGTCCTGGTTAGTCCTAGTTAGTCCTGGTTTAGTTAGTCCTGGTTTAGTCCTGGTCTAGTCCTGGTTTAGTCCTGGTTTAGTCCTGGTTAGTCCTGGTTTAGTCCTGGTTTAGTCCTGGTTAGTCCTAGTTTAGTCCTGGTTTAGTCCTGGTTTAGTCCTAGTTTAGTCCTAGGTTTAGTCCTGGTCTAGTCCTGGTTTAAGTCCTGGTTTAGTCCTAGTTTAGTCCTGGTTTAGTCCTAGTTTACCTGGTTTAGTCCTGGTTTAGTTAGTCCTGGTCTAGTCCTGGTTTAGTCCTGGGTTTAGTCCTGGTTTAGTCCTGGTTTAGTCCTGGTTTGTCCTAGTCCTAGTCCTGGTTTAGTCCTGGTTTAGTCCTGGTCCTGTTGTTTAGTCCTAGTTTAGTCCTGGTTAGTCCTGGTTTAGTCCTGGTTTAGTCCCTGGTTTAGTCCTGGGTTTAGTCCTAGTTTAGTCCTGGTTTAGACCTGGTTTAGTCCTGGTTTAGTCCTGGTTTAGTTTAGTTTACCTGGTTTAGTTTAGTCCTGGTTTAGTTTACCTGGTTTAGTCCTGGTTTAGTCCTGGTTTAGTCCTGGTTTAGTCCTGGTTTAGTCCTGGTTTAGTCCTGGTTTAGTCCTAGTTTAGTCCTGGTTTAGACCTGGTTTCCTCCATCATCTTCCACAGTTGGATCTTCTTCAGCCTCAGACAGGATCTACCTGTGCTCCTCTTCTCCTCCAGGGGGCAGCACACATGTGTATGTCACTGTCACTAAACCAGGTCTAAACCAGAACTAAACCAGGTCTAAACCAGGTCTAAACCAGAACTAAACCAGGACTAAACCAGGACTAAACCAGGACTAAACCAGGTCTAAACCAGGACTAAACCAGAACTAAACCAGGTCTAAACCAAAACCAGACTAAACCAGGACACAGAACTAAACCAGGTCTAAACCAGGACTAAACTAAACCAGGTCTAAACCAGGAACTAAACCAGGACTAAACCAGGTCTAAACCAGGTCTAAACCAGAACTAAACCAGAACTAAACCAGGACTAAACCAGGACTAAACCTGGTCTAAACCAGAAAAACCAGGACTAAACCAGGACTAAACCAGGACTAATCCAGGACTAAACCAGGTCTAAACCAGGACTAAACCAGGACTAAACCAGAACTAAACCAGGTCTAAACCAGGTCTAAACCAGGACTAAACCAGGACTAAACCAGGACTAAACCAGGACTAAACCAGAACTAAACCAGGTCTAAACCAGGTCTAAACCAGAACTAAACCAGGACTAAACCAGAACTAAACCAGGTCTAAACCAGGTCTAAACCAACTAAAACCAGGACTAAACCAGAACTAAACCAGGACTAAACCAGGACTAAACAGGTCTAAACCACTAAACCAGGTCTAAACCAGAACTAAACCAGGACTAAACCAGGACTAAACCAGGTCTAAACCAGGTCTAAACCAGACTAAACCAGGACTAAACCAGGACTAAACCAGGACTAAACCAGGACTAAACCAGGTCTAAACCAGTCTAAACCAGAACTAAACCAGGACTAAACCAGGTCTAAACCAGGTCTAAACCAGGAAACTAAAACCAGGACTAAACCAGGACTAAACCAGGACTAAACCAGGACTAAACCAGGACTAGGTCTAAACCAGGACTAAACAGGGACTAAACCAGGTCTAAACCAGGACTAAACCAGGACTAAACCAGGACTAAACCAGGTCTAAACCAGAACTAAACCAGGAACTAAACCAGGACTAAACCAGGTCTAAACCAGGAGGTCTAAACCAGGTCTAAACCAGGACTAAACCAGGTCTAAACCAGGTCTAAACCAGGACTCTAAACCAGGTCTAAACCAGGAACCACTAAACCAGGTCTAAACCAGGACTAAACCAGGACTAAACAGTCTAAACCAGACTAAAAGGTCTAAACCAGGTCTAAACCAGGACTAAACCAGGTCTAAACCAGGACTAAACCAGGTCTAAACCAGGTCTAAACCAGGTCTAAACCAACTAAACCAGGTCTAAACCAGGAACTAAACCAGGACTAAACCAGAACTAAAACCAGAACTAAACCAGGTCTAAACCAGGACTAAACCAGGTCTAAACCAGGACTAAAAACTAAACCAGGTCTAAACCAGGACTAAACCAGGTCTAAACCAGGACTAAACCAGGACTAAACCAGGACTAAACCAGGAAACTAAACCAGGACTAAACCAGGTCTAAACCAGGACTAAAACAGGACTAAACCAGGTCCAATCCAGAACTAAACCAGGACTAAACCAGAACTAAACCAGGTCTAAATCAGGACTAAACCAGGTCTAAACCAGGACTAAACCAGGTCTAAACCAGGTCTAAACCAGGACTAAACCAGGACTAAACCAGGTCTAAACCAGGTCTACCAACCTAAACCAGGACTAAACCAGGACTAAACCAGAACTAAACCAGGTCTAAACCAGGACTAAACCAGGAACTAAACCAGGACTAACCCAGGGACTAAACCAGAACTAAACCAGGACTAAACCAGGTCTAAACCAGGTCTAAACCAGGTCTAAACCAGGTCTTAAACCAGGACTAAACCAGGACTAAACCAGGTCTAAACCAGGACTAAACCAGGTCTAAACCAGGACTAAACCAGGACTAAACCAGAACTAAACCAGGACTAAACCAGGACTAAACC